TCAAGATGCGGGGAGAAGGATCCGGACATGCAAATGACGACCACCAGAGAAAGGCAGATTCTAGACGACGACGTCGCTTTATGGCTGCAATCGCAACTACAATAGCCAGTGCCGAGTTTTTGGATAGTGACACAGTACCAAGGCCTGTGCACATTTCTTCTTTGAGGGGCATCGATAAGGTAAATGAGTTGTTATCAAACAATAATGAAGCTACTATGTTTAACAAGGTGCGTATGGGACCACGTGCATTTATGATTTTGTGTGACATACTAACTAAACGCCGGTTGTTACAACCCTCGTACAACATGAATGTACAATAACAATTATTTGTGTTTTTGACAATCGCTTGCCAAAGTCAAACTAACCGTGAAGCTCAAGACATATGGCAACATTCTGGGGAGACAATTTCACGACGGTTTGGTGATGTCCTCGATGCTATATGTGCACTACACGATGATTTTATTAAACCCCCTAACTATGAGAGAGTGCATAATTTTTTACATCAGAATCGTGAAAGATATGGAACATGGTTTGACGTGAGTTCTCTAGTTCTTTTACCTCGGTCTTGTGTTAGTCACTCCACCAATTGTATCTGTTTTTTAATAACTACAATCTAATATTATTGTTCAGGATTGTGTAGGCGCAATTGACGGAACTCATATACCTTGTACACCGATTAGAGTTCCAAATCCTATGGCGTACCGCAATCAGAAGGGTGTGAACTCCCAAAACATATTGGCAGTTTGCTCATTCGATATGAAGTTCACATACATGCTATCTGGATGGGAAGGTTCAGCGCACGATGCAAGAGTGCTAACGGAAATGCACTCCAATCCTAGGTTCAAGTTCCCACGTCCCCCACCAGGTTATATTTCATAATGTATTTTGTAGTTATATGTATTAATAGTATGGGGCATAAATTACATCCTAATTTATATAACTTGTGCAGGAAAATACTATCTTGTTGATGCGGCGTATGCGAACTCTGATTGTTTTCTCGCTCCCTACAGAGGTGA